TCACGTGTGAGGGGGGCTGTAGACTGAGTCAAGTAACAAAGGCAAAGCTAATGCGGGGGGAGGGGAAAAGCTGCAGAGAGAGTCTGGGAACAGTGGCTCTTGTCTGCACGTTTGGGGAACAAGCTGATTGCTGGCAGGGAGCGAAGAGAGCGGATGGGGCCATCTGCCCTTGAAAGAGAACCCTTTCGGTTGTGCATGGAGTCTCAGGGAGGCCGTGCCGGGTCAGCTGTGGGCTGCACATGACCGGCCGCCTTGGGGTGGCATCTGCCCGCGTGCTGGGGGCTCCGTCAGCACCTGCCTCCGCAGCATTCCTCACGGGCAAACAAAAGCTGCTCCCAGGGGGGCTGCATGCTTTAAGAAAAATGAGAGAGCACATATGTCTATGTGGAAGGGAAGAATAGTCTTGCTGGTTTAATGAGGAATATATTCGTGTCTTAAAAGAATGCCAGTTAATGTGCCGTCTGTGAAACAGACCACAGTAAGAAACCCGACTGCTGATTAGGAAAACAGTGATTAAAACCAAATAAACCCTCCTGATTCACTTATTTCTGTTACTGCTCAGCCAGGGCTGCCACAGACAGCTGTGCAGGTTGGGTACTGCACAAGGATGCCACATCTGAGGGCACTCTATTTCCAACAGAGCCACTGTAGGCTTGTCCATCAATGCCAACAAATTTCTGGCAGGTGCCATGAACGTCGTGTGGTCCCAACAAAAAACAAATTTCCTGAAAAATGGAAACAAAGTGGCCTGACTATGCAGAAACACTCCATCTGGGCTGAAGGTGGCAGTGGGTCTGGGCTCACAGACGTATGAGTTTGGGCTCCACCTTTAACCATCTGTGACTTTCACCCTTCGGTGACCCCCTGACAATGAGCAGACGAGTTTACAGAGCACATCCTGCCCCTTGCTTCTCCCTCCCTTCCTTCTCCCTCTCTCCCATTTGCTTCTCTTCACAGCGCCATGCTCTGCCTTCTGCCGCCGGCGGGGGGCGGGGGGTGTCTCACTCCTGAGCCTCTTCCCTCCGTCTCTCCCTCCCAGAACATAGACACGCTAGAGCGAGTGGCGGGGCTGGAGCCTGAGGACCTGGTGGAGGCCCATGGCACCTTCTACACCTCGCACTGCATCAGCCCCCTCTGCCGACGGGAGTACTCGCTCAGCTGGATGAAAGGTGAGGCGCTGGACGTCATCCTCGAGGGCAGGCCTCCTGCCCTCTGTCTGCTCCTCGGGGGCTCCAGGCGGTGGGCACCCGTTCCGTCCTGCTCCGTGGCTCCTTTCAGCAGCTGACGGCAGCCCCCAGAGATGAGGCGGCCTCGGGCTTTCGTTGCTCCCGCCACCTCACAGCCGGGTTATGATGGAAGCGAGCTCCGCGCCCAGTGCAGCCACGCAGAGACATGTGTTGGCCTAGAAGCTACCAGATGGGCACACGGTCTGTTCTGTGCGGTCACGAGGCCCCCAGCTCTCTGTCACACGAGGGCTCTGACTTTACCTTACACGAGGGTCCTGTGAGGGCAAACGCAACGACATTCAAATCCAGATTGGCGCTGTCCCAGATGGGGGCCACCGCCGCGTGTGGCTCTCGGCCACTCACAGATGTGACCAACGGTACCAAGGATCTGAATTTGGAATTTTACATCAGTTTTAGTAATTTCAGTGTTAAAAGCCACACGGTGGCTGTGACCACCATATTGGACGGGACCGAGCTAGCGGCACAGGGGCCGATGGCCCGTGAGTCACACTCCACAGAATGTGAACCTGGACACGGGCCTGGCTAGGGACGAGGGCTGGCGGCTGTCCCTAGGGGTGCAGACAACAGGGCTTGTTGAAGTCAGCGTCCCAGTTCATGGAAGGGCAGAGTGTCCAGAACAGGGGGGAAAAAAAGTCAGCCAGTCCACATTTCTCGAATGCCAGTGAGAATCTTGTCTGACATCCATTGTGCTGCCCAGAAGCCCCGCATTTCATCCCTGGCAAGCCACTGCTCACATTCTTTATGCTGACTTCACAAAGCCTCCTGTGTCCGTGTTGAGACAGGGACAGCTGTGGCATTTGCGGTGGGGCCCCTGGAGGGTGGCCTTTCTGCCTAGACGCCGGCTGACAGCCGCTGGGGCGAGGCTTCCAGAATAGCTCGAGTGTGCACAGCTGCGGGGAATGGACAACGAACACCACTCCCTTACGTGCCCCTGACAGCAGTAGCGCGTGCAGCCCCCACAAAATCCTAAACACTGTCAGTGCCGAAATGTTTCCAGTTACATTACACACATCACAACGGGGCTCTGTAAATGTTTGTTGAAGGAATGAATGAAGAGCTGAACAAACAAGCTAGGATTCTGTGGGGTTGGTTGCAAGTGACAGAATGCTTTTCAAGCTTCCTTAATCAGTAAGCGATAAGGAGCATGATTATCATAAGGATGGTGTGTGGGTGTGGAGGGGGGGAGGTGTCTGTCCCAGAACCCAAGGATGGGAAGCAGCTGGGCCTAAGGATGTATCCCCATCCCAGGATCGTCTGCAGATTCTTCCCTCTCTCTGTCACCAGGCCTGGGACTCACCAGGCCTCTCACCCAGGATAAAATAGAGCTGCCCTCCAAGACCCACTAGGAGAGCTTTTTTTTTTTTTTT